ATCTTTAATTCACTTTTCAAGTTTTTATTTATGTTTGCTTTTGGAGGATGTTGGTCGGGTTTTTGCTGTGCATTTGCGGGGTGTTTTAACTGGGACTGTTAACAAATATGAATATTAACTGTATAATAAATATTTAAAGTATTAAGAACACACACTGTTTTTAAATCGTTATTTTATTAAGCAGATTTGTTTAGTTGTATCCTTCCGCTAGAAGATAAAGTCCCTGGCAGAACAACTATGCAAACAACCAACAAAAAAAACGATCCGTTGTAAGAGTCGCGCAGTGATATGGGGAATATATGTGTTCGGCAACATTGATGTTACTATTTTGGTCCGGTATGACCATAGTTGATTGTACAGGAAACATGACACGGCAAAATCAGAGAAATGTACAGTAAATCAGCACATCTGGAGATAATAACAGACCTCTGAGCAGTCTTTTATAGTCGTTAAATAGTTGTAAAATTGGTATAGCCTACGCTTCAAAAGCTTAGCATGATGAAAAGTAACTAAGAATCTTTTATTAAACGTAGTGAACTAGTTTTGAAGAAGAGTTTTATTTTGAAAGTTACATGGGTGTAAGTATGTAGGAGGAGTCATTATCTTCTGCCACACCTATTATTCCATAAAAACTCAACTTTTCAACTAACGTCAACTTCAGTCAGGTCAGCAGGTCAGCAGGTAAGCAAATAAGCAAATCCTGGATGAATTTTTGTTTGCTTTTAGTAAAACATATTAAGCATCTATGATAGCCTTGAATTGGTTGTATTTTGCCTTTCTTGCCTCCGTGCGCATTATGTAACATCTTTCAATTCTTATCTATAAAACGCCCAAGTTTGTGTAGTCACCATCAAATGTTTTATTTAGGTGAACACTGATCACTATAATGGCTCCATCTCCAAAATGCCAAGGAAAAGGTAAGAGAAAGCAAGGAAATTAGACTCGCTCACAAAGCTTCCTATGTTTGATCGATAACTTGTAAATGGAAAAGCATTCATTAAAAACATCCAGATATGAATTCACGTTAATCTGCATATGTTCAACGAGTTTCATTACCAACCCGTAAGAATCTTTTATTAAACGTAGTGAACTAGTTTTGAAGAAGAGTTTTATTTTGAAAGTTACATGGGTGTAAGTATGTAGGAGGAGTCATTATCTTCTGCCACACCTATTCTTCCATAAAAACTCAACTTTTCAACTAACGTCAACTTCAGTCAGGTCAGCAGGTCAGCAGGTTCAGCAGGTAAGCAAATAAGCAAATCCTGGATGAATTTTTGTTTGCTTTTAGTAAAACATATTAAGCATCTATGATAGCCTTGAATTGGTTGTATTTTTGCCTTTCTTGCCTCCGTGCGCATTATGTAACATCTTTCAATTCTTATCTATAAAACGCCCAAGTTTGTGTAGTCACCATCAAATGTTTTATTAGGTGAACACTGATCACTATAATGGCTCCATCTCCAAAATGCCAAGGAAAAGGTAAGAGAAAGCAAGGAAATTAGACTCGCTCACAAAGCTTACTTTGTTTGATCTATAACTTGTAAATGGAAAAGCATTCATTAAAAACATCCAGATATGAATTCACGTTAATCTGCATATGTTCAACGAGTTTCATTACCAACCCGGTTGCATGAAAACTCTCCCAGATGTTATCAAGCCATGACGTTGCGTAATCATTGTTAAAAATGTATTTCTGATCAAATAAATTTATTAGCTCTTACAATTTAATTCAGAAACGGTTAAGAACCTGGACTTAGTGGCCCACATTATTTTACTGATGAAATTCCATGCATATTATGTAAATAACTTTTTCATATGCATGTACATATTTACATTATTGTGTCCCATGTGTTTCACTTTTGTAACAGCATGTCCTGCTCCTGGACCAGTGCCAAATGGTCTTATTCGGCTCTACAGCATGAGATTTTGTCCATTTGCTCAGAGAGCAAGACTGGTGCTCACTGCCAAGGGAGTTAAGTGAGTGCTAATGTTGACCTGCTGTGCAGTATTGGGTTAGATGGAGTGTTGAGGTGTGCCTAATGTGTACGTATGATATTTAGAGCGTAAATTAGATTTGAGTTTCTTAATTAACATTTTCTGTTTTGGTTGTGAGGAAAATCTTTTAAATATCTATCCACTAACCAATTTAGATTTTATAATTTAGATTTTATATTCCTTTTACATAGACATGAAATTATCAACATCAATTTGAAGGATAAGCCTGATTGGTTTCTAGAGAAGAATCCTTCAGGGACAGTGCCAGTATTGGAAACCTCAAGTGGTCAGGTGATATATGAGTCACCAATCACCTGCGAATACCTGGAAGAGGCCTACCCTGAGAAGAAACTGCTCCCATCCGACCCGTTTGAGAGAGCCCAACAGAAAATGCTGCTGGATCATTATTCAAAGGTAGGCAGTTGGCCATTTTAAAACATGTACCTTATAAAGCATCTGCCAGTAGAACTGCTGATTTTAATTAAGCTTCTCCATCCGAAATCTCACTGTAATCAGGACATAGAATATAGAAATGTACTCTTTATCCATACAGTTCCTAAATAATCTGAAAGTCTTGGTATCATCTTTTTATTATCAGTTAAGGAAACTACCATAACCACTCAGGAGCATTGTTGATGTATAATCATATTAATGATTTGAATTTCTTTGTTTTTTTTAATTAAGTACATTTAAGCATACATTTATGGAAATTCATCCTCATTTCAGGTGATTCCATACTTCTATAAGATCTCTATGGGCAAGAAAAGAGGAGAAGACGTCTCAGCAGCTGAAGTTGAATTTAAAGATAAAGTCTCCCAACTAAATGAGGTGGGCTGAAATTCCTACACTTTCTGAAAATATATCATAATTTATTTATTTATTTTATTTTATTTTATTTTACAGTATCTGGCAAAAAAAAAGACCAAATATTTTGGGGGCAATTCAATCACAATGATTGACTACTTGATCTGGCCATGGTTTGAGAGGGCAGAGATGATGGGCGTAAAGCAGTAAGTTTGTTTGTTTTATTAGTACATATATGCAATATATAATGAATGTATGATAAAATTGCACACATTTTACCCAACAGCAGGAGGAGTAAATAGAGGTTAAGTTAAACAGATATGCAAACAGTGATGAATGACTGAGATTAGTAAAGGTAGGGCTCTGGTTCCAGCTGAGTTGAAAAGCACTTTGGTTCAGTGAACCTTGTGCACACAAGTACTTGTCTTCACAAGTAAACTTCTTGTGAATGCAACCATGTCTTTTGTATATATTTCTCCAAAGGATATAACTTGCTTGTAAACCTAATAGTTCCATATCTGTATTCGTGTTTCAGTTGTTTGGCCAACACTCCTGAGTTAAGGAAGTGGATTGAATGCATGTTCGAGGATCCAGTGGTCAAAGCCACCATGTTCAGCACAGAGGATCACAAGGTGTTCTTCAACAGCTATATGGATGGAAACCCTAATTATGATCACGGTTTATAGAGTAAAACAGGATGATATCTGTCCATCTGTATGTGTAGATTTTTTATCATTACTATTTTCTTAGTCTAAGTGTTTTTATACTGAATTTACAGCAAATTTAGCTTTTAAGCCTTAGACCTTAGAGTAGATCCCAGAGGGCCATGTAAAAAAAAAAAAAAAGAGGCTACAATAGGTATATTAACATGTTTGTCATTTATACATGAATATAAATAAACCAAATGTACAAACCATAAACATTATGGACAAAACATGTATGCTTGTCTTTATTATTCCTTTATCGTTCCTGTAGCTCAAGCAGAAGCTATAGTTTGGTGCTAGCAATGCCACGGTCAGAGGTTCAATTCCCAGGGAAAGCAAGAGCTTGTCAAATGTATATGTGTACCTTTGCATATAAGTGTAAAGCCCTATATCTATGACCAGTTTTCTCTTTGGTTGAAAGTGAAATGCTACTGAACCATGCGGTGCATATCGTGGGGTTGCACAGCATGGCTTTCTAGGAGGGGAAACTGCATACATGTTTGTTTAGTGCATTTCTGATTAAACAAAATCCAAGACAAAGAGTAAAACCAGTGCATTGTACAGGAAAGATAAAAAGGCCCTTTCAAACCTGTGAAACAGCTTCTGCTTGGGCCTGTACATGTCACTGTGCACCATTTCTTTAGATGTGCTTGCTGCTCATACTTCGTTTAGGCATTTCAACAATCCCTTATGTTGGCACAAGATCAAAACTGATAATACTGCTAAATACTCTGATAATGTTACAGAATGATATCCTTAACATGATATTACATCATTTACAATAACTTCATGGTTCAAAGATCCTGAATCAGCTGCCAGAATGATGATGAATAGCAAGTGGGTGTTTTTTCAACCATGGGCACTTTTGGCCCAGTGGAAAAATACAATTCCTTAAAATCCTATTATTTTATAGCAGCAATGTCATTTCACTCCCATCTCTAATTATGTATTGTTTGTTAACATTCTGTGGTGGAAATTACATTTAAACTTTTGAAAATCTTTGTCTTGCCAAGGACAATTTCACAGCAAGCATTTTAGATATTTTAAATACACACTTGTTTTCACTTTTTGCCTAATTTAACAGAATTACAGCTTGAAGTGATGCATGATAAAATAACTGTTCTTAAGTGATACTTAACTTGATTTTCTTAACACATTACATCTTATTTCAACTCCAGAATGCTCAACACTGACACTTTTGCTATTAAACTTGATTCTTATTATTATTACAATTAGACGCAAAGTTTGTTTATTGTCATGAATATGACACCGAAACTAAGGAGAAGTTGTAATGTGTACAAATTTATATAGAGTTACAGTTTATTCATTTTGGCAAAATAAATATTGAAATGGTTTGTGTATAATTCACTCTTTGTTGTGATAATTTAAAAATTTAAAGATTAATATTTTTTATGATGGATTTTATATTTGAAGATTGAAAGTCTCAGTCTGGGACAAGAGTAAAAAGAAAAAAGAGAGAAAAAGATATATATAAAAAGCATTAGAAAAAAAATGCCCATAGTTGAAGAAACACCCAAATATCATCATAGCATCAGTAACAGTCAGTGCTAAACATGTCGTTTACATTTAAGGTGCAAAACGTCATTATGTAATTAGTCTGTAGAAATCCCCTGCACTCAAAGTGAGGTCGGTGAGTAAGTCTACGTCTGGTCTGCTAAGCTAATGTCTCACATAACCGTTAGACAAGTGTGGGGTATATTCTTGAACAAGCACAGAGGTATTTCTGACCATCTCTTGAAAATGCTCTTCCATTTTGGCATATACATGCCTCTGCAACACAAGAGGCCTAAACAGGTTTATCGGCTCTGCAGTACGGATTATTTTGGGAACCAGAATTTCAGACGGGATGCGAGGGTTCCCGACAACAATGTGATAGAGTCTCTTTTCCTCCATGCTTTGCTGAAGGAAGCCGAGTAGATCTCGTAATCTGTGATCGAGATTCTGTGGTTGCCACGTCGCAGGACGTTTACTCAACAACAGATGCAAAAGCGCCGTCTTTATATGGTAATTAGAAAAGGCGCTTCTCCCAGTCAAAGCTGTCTGTTTTTTGTGCAAGAAAGAAACTATCTGAAGACAGTGAACATGACACGAATTTGTAGGAAGTTGTTTTGCTAGATGTTTAAGCAGGTTCTTTTCATAAACAGTTAGTGAGAGTTTCCAGTGAGTGTCTGAGGAGTTGCTAATGTCAGATGGGAAATGAGAGATGAGGTAAGCAGCCGTGTCCTCAAACTGAACAGCAGGGGTAACGTTAAGAACGACAGTCTTTCCAGATCTAAATCTGATTTTCAGGGCTCCAGGGAAGTCCAGGTTCCGAAACCCCAGCTCAAAATCGTATTTATGAGAGATCTGGCCCCATGCTTTGCTCACCGAGATCTGGAACCATGTCATGATCTGATCTTTCGACAAATATGAGGTGTTTTTTGCACAGAGGAGCTCCACCAAAGTGTGATCCTCAAGCTTTTCACACTCATTTCTGTTGTGAAGCAGACAAAGCATATCATCACCGAGATTGGTTGAGGCACAAAGACAGTCTGTGCCATTCCCACCTGGTTTTATTAGTTTAATCCTTCCACATCCTTGCAGTGAGTGTCTGAGGAGTTGCTAATGTCAGATGGGAAATGAGAGATGAGGTAAGCAGCCGTGTCCTCAAACTGAACAGCAGGGGTAACGTTAAGAACGACAGTCTTTCCAGACCTAAATCTGATTTTCAGGGCTCCAGGGAAGTCCAGGTTCCGAAACCCCAGCTCAAAATCGTATTTATGAGAGATCTGGCCCCATGCTTTGCCCACCGAGATCTGGAACCATGTCATGATCTGATCTTTCGACAAATATGAGGTGTTTTTTGCACAGAGGAGCTCCACCAAAGTGTGATCCTCAAGCTTTTCACACTCATTTCTGTTGTGAAGCAGACAAAGCATATCATCACCGAGATTGGTTGAGGCACAAAGACAGTCTGTGCCATTCCCACCTGGTTTTATTAGTTTAATCCTTCCACATCCTTGCAAGTCCAGTGGGATTTCAGTGGACGGGTCGCACCAGAGCTGAAACTGGAACCTGAATGGCCGTGGAGGAGCAAAAGGCACAATGAGGTCACATGTAGGAGGTTTAGACGCTCTCCAGGACTCAAACATACTGCCTATTCCAACAAAGTCCTCGACTTCCAGGTCAGAGTCTCGATCGCAAACACTTCTCAAAGCCTCAAGCAGATCATCTGCAAAGCCCTCGATAAACTCTTGCACTCTCCCACTCTCGTGGATGAAAGGATGGAAGCGGGTCTTGCAGAAGTTACTTAGGACACCTTTATCTAGGACTACAGTCTTAGCGCTGAGATATTCGGCACTGGGATCTCCAACTTCATCTTCCATGGGGTCTGGCATTTCAGTAGGGATCATATCCTGCCTGCACACCTCAATTGTGAAGAAAATGACTAGGCAGAGAGCGCTCCAAAAGTACCAACTGTAACTGTCCTGATCACCAATCAGAGCTGTTTCTGTTTGAGAGATCTCCTGTTCCAGGCGCTTCTGTTCGGCCTCCAGCTTCTCCTGGTGCTCCTTCATCCGGGTCAGGAGCTCATCATCTTCCTCAGGGATGGTGGTGTTCTCATTAGGGAAGAGCAGCGGGTGGTTGAGGATAGCGGCTACTACCACCATGCAAACCCGCGTAATAGCACCTTGCATTCTTCACTGTGAGTCTGGGAAAACACACATTTCTGGATTAATGTGAGCTTCTTGAAAGGAAACACAACTTTTACCTTTTGTGAAAACATGTCATTCTTCAGAGTAGTTATTTGTCAACTGTAATACAAATGACTGTCCTGCACTGGGGAAGGATGTCAGATAACCCAAGTTAAATGTCATAAATTACACGAAGCAGAACTGTTTCCAGATAAAATTATGCACTGAAAACAAGAGATCTTTAAAAAAAAAAATCAATATCAGGGGGAAAAAATCTGTTTAATGACTTTTTATCTCTTAACTTGAGGTCTGGGTAAAAAAATAAAAGTGGTACCATCTCTCATCTCTGTTCAAAGTATTTTGTCATTTTGCCTGAACTGAAGCTTAGGAAGGAACCTCATATAGACTGAGGATGACGTTATGTAATTGGTTTATTTATAGTGTGGCACTTGGAGTCCAAGTGATTCTTGGAATGAGGCAGATAAAATTCCATATTTACAGTATACAATCTGCAAGCTACTGGCACATTCCATGAATAAGGTACACTTTGGTATCCCATGATTTTTTTAAAGCAGAGACAAATTTTGTCAGTCGTTTCAAGTGATATTCAATTCATAGTAGTAAAAATGTAGGCCTTCTTGTCTAATTTTTTTAATCAATTGTGGCATTTATTTGGACTCTTTATACACCATGGTTAGAAGGCAAGCAAGTATCTCCTTCAGTCTCATTTTCCGCTGAACTTGTCATAACATAGAGAATAAAAAGAAAATAATAAAACGGCTCAAATTTTAATTTGATCTCAATTTTGGCTAATTTTTTAAAAAAAAATGTAGGCCCTATTTTTTTTTGTTTACAAAAAAATGGAACTATGTGGAACTGCATAGGTAAAACAACACAAAATAACAAAAAAATGTTTTCAAATAGAGCACATAATGATAGGTAGTTGACTAACAATGTTTGGGTTCCAGGAAATGTGTGGCGCTGCAAAGTTTCCAACATTCTTCAAACACTAAAGGGCGGAGTTTAGACAACAACAATTTACTCATTAAACAGAGAGAAATCTACAAATAGTTAGACACTATTACAGAAAAAACACGTGTTAACGCGTGCCTGAAATGATTCAAGTCAATGGTAAGTTTTAGCAGCAAACTGTGTAGAGGGCGCTGACGCAATAAACCAACGACAGAGCCAGAGCATCTAACAACTTCTCTTTTTAATCAACACAACTGCGCATTTTCTTTTTGACGTCTTAAGATGTTTTACAAAACTCTTGTTTTTTATTTTAATCACAGCTGTTACGGTCTCTTGTTGAATAATCTATGAAAGAGCAGATGGAACAGAATAGCTTACTGTAACCCAAGAGTTAAAGTCCAGCGTTGTTCATTGTTTCAGAACGATACTGAACCGAACCAAGAGAAAGCGCTTCAATACCGTTACTCCTCTGTTTCCTCATCTGCTCTCACATCCAGGAAGTGACCAATGGGGCCCTTTTCGCTCCTCCATAAAAAGCACGTGGGCCAGTCCCGCTCTTGAGTCATATGTCACACGCACACACACGCACTCAGTCTCCGGGGTGGTGAAAACATTAACTTTTTATCTCGACGTGAGGAAAACAAGTATTGACGTTTTCACAAGTTATAGGCCTTGTAGTGAATATTATAAGCCTATTGTTAATTATGGATGTGCATGCAATTACAAAATAAAAATACTTCTAGGGGAAACGCGGGGCACAAAGTAACGCGGGGTTAGTTGTAACACACCTGGTTTAAATATTTCCACACATGCTAGCATAACAAAATTTACAGCATTTACTAGTTACTATAGCAACATTATATTGAGAAAAAAAGTGTGCCAAAATTCAAAAGTCTTTTGAAGATATCGCTGAACGTTTATTTTACCATAGTAAAATTATATTTCTGGCTTAAGTACATTTTTCATCTCAGTTTTTATTACTCATTTAAAATGAGACAAATCTGCAATTTTTTAAATCTACAATCTGTTATTTATCAGTTTAGATTATTTTTTAATGCTTCGCTAACTATCAGAAGACCGTAACCAGTTTTAAATTCCAGTTGCGCAGATGGGGCACGATGTAACACTGCGTTACAATGTGCTATTGACATTAGCGATGTAATTCACACTATTTGCTTTAATACATTTTAATTATAAACGACGAGAAACAGGTGAATAAATACCGGCAGTCAATGTTTAATGTTAAGAAATTATTATTTCAAGACATGTAAAGCATTTTGGCTCGTTTAAGTGGGCCGTCTCAAGCATGACTGTAATGTGTTCGTTGTCAAACTCCAAAATCGGATTATTTTGAATTCTTAAAAAAAGCCATTATTTCATTTAAAATAAATAATTATTTTATTTTATTGACAACATATTTTAGTTTGTCTTGTATATTTTTTTCATTCGATCAGATAAGATTTTAAGCTGTCATATGGTCATGGCCCCTCAGCACGTTGTCACATTTCACTTCCAATTTTTGAGGGTAAATAAAGAAAAAAGGTATACACTGTAATTATGAAACAAAGCGACATATTTGTACTAGACAAGTGTGAACTTACTGTGGATAAAAAAATTATACTCTGAACCCCATGTGGATTTAAACAAACTGAGAAAGTCAAAAAGTGTTACTTTGCGCCCCGCTCTACCCTATATATGTACATAGCCCGGTTGAAGAATCAAAACCATGTTATATATGGCGAAGAGAGTAATATCTACAAACGACGGTATTCAAATGTGGGTTTTCGACAAGGCCTTTACGTTGTTTTGTTTCTGGGCTCTTTGTAAGAATGTGCAGCTGCGCAGTGACTAAGGACAAATATACCCACATGAGGTCGCTACCTCACCAAAGTTCAGCCAGATACACAATACACCTACAATACTTTGATATGAAAGAGTTTGTCAATTAACCCCCGTAATCATCCGTTTGTAGGATCATTTTGAGCTTTCTTTTTAAGGTTATTTTCCTGAGGGTCACTCAATGCGGTAATTATTGAGAAAAATATCCATCCGTTCTCCTTAGCCTATCCGGTCGCGGGAAAAATATGAAATAGCATATTTTAAACCATCCGACTATTGAAAGGGAAGAAAGCAACCCTGTTTTAAATAGCTTTAAAGTCAGGTATTCGTGCGCACATTTGGGTGTGGCCAAATGAAGCAGTGCGTGCGCCCTACACGTGAACCTATCACACTTCAGCACGCAGAGCTTGCGAGATGCGTTCATTTTTGTGAAACTTTCGTCTCCACGTTATCCATATAATTACTTTGAAATCAAATTAACCATTTCTCAGGTGAGGTTTTTTTTTCGCAGACTTGATCAGCGCAGATTGCACAACAACGTATTTGGCGGTCGTTATTAGATAAGTAGCCGACGTTTGACACATCTGCAGCCTCTTATAGCTACAACGTAAACGAATTAATGGATCGCTTAAAGTTGGTTCTGCAATATTTCCAGTCAAATTCTGAGTCTATCTCTAATGGTATCTGTATAATATTGTCACTGATAAGCGTCAAGCTGTATACAAGTTTTGATTTCAACTGCCCCTGTTTACCGCAATACAATAAGATGTACGCACTGGGGGTCATGTTAGTCCCTCCAGTTATATTGCTCCTTTTGGGAGTGTTAGTCAGTCGTCATACTGGGGTGCTGATGGAAGAGTGGGTCAGACCCCTGGGCAACAGGACAAAAAATCCAGCAGTGAGAAAGTAAGTTTGAAGCTAAATAATATTAATAATATTACTAATTTATTATTAATATTAATCATATATAAATATGTATATTATTCTTTTCTCAGATTTTTGCTGTCATCAATGTTGCAACGGGCCCTTCTGGCCCCCATGGTCTGGATTCTGATGACACTTTTGGATGGAAAATGTTTCATCTGTGCATTTAGTATGAATGTAAACCCTAAATATTTCACAGGAATACCAAACAGCACTGGCCTAGAATTGATCAAGATCATGGCTAAGGTGCCTTGCAAAGAAGATGCTATCTTCAAAAACAGCAGTTTTCGGAAAGCTGTCTCACGCTATGTGCGGTGTTACTCTCAGGTGAATGGGTTTTCTCACATTTTTTTGTGCATTTTTTTTTCAGTGCTTACATTGTTTTTAGGCAAGTGAACTTTGATGTCAATGTCATTTTTGACTTGATAGCTGCTAAGTAAGATTGAGCTGTACAAAGTTGACAGGAGCAGACCTTTAGCAAATCTGTAGGTGGTTAAAATCCTTTCATGCTTTGCATAACTAGATGATTAATCTATTCTTGTACAATTTATCTTCTTCTCTAAGGCAATAGGCTGGTCAATCCTCCTTTTCTTCATTTTTTTGGGCGCTGTAGGCCGTGTCCTCAAGCCTTGCTTCAATCACGCCACTTTTCTGCAGACACGCTACTGGAGCAATTACCTGGACATTGAGCAGAAGCTCTTCGATGAGACCTGTGTCCTTCATGCCAGAGATTTTGCCAGAAAATGTGTGGTGCAGTTCTTTGAGAGTATGCGAGAAGACGTGACTGTGAGAATGCCCCTTTCAAATGCACTCAGACCCAGTTCAATCCATAATGAACATGAAGAGGAAGAAGAGGAGCGTCTGCATGGTATAACCAGACAAGATCAGGTGGATCATTTGCTGCAAACCTGGTACGAGTGCAAACCAGAGCTGGATGTGACCAAGATGGCCTATAAGCCCAAAGTTTGCATCACTTGGGAAGATCACAATGGAAAGGCATTATTCTCTGAAGTGTAAAACTTGAGAACTAATTGACTAATTAATGTTAATTCAGAAGCAAAACCCTAAAAAGCTTGCACGTTGGTGCATTGGATGTATAATTCAGGCCCCCATACGATTCTGAGCCGAAGATGCCTGGATGGAGAATGTTTCATCTGCATATTTAGTATGAATATAGAACCCAAACATTTTTAATTGTAATGTTACAATCAGATTATTGTTAATTCAGAAAGCTTTGTTTTAACCTTCCTCAAGTGCTGGCATGCTGGTACATTTGAATATGCTGGGATTTAGTTTGTGTATTTTTGCATGTCTCTTTCCACACATTACACAACAACCTCATGGATATGGCTTGCATGCAAAACACCTGAAAAAAATGTGTGTGTAGTTGTCTGTATATATTGTGTATATGTATATTTATTAATAGTATTAAGTAATAAAAATATCATCTTAGCTGCATGGCAGTTAGACCACTGCGTTCTGTGTTTGTATTGTCCATGTTTTGAAATGTACTTTTACCTTCAATACACCTTTTTGAGTAAGAGAGATTTTGTCTTGAAGTTATGTATTATGCTTGACAGTGAACAATTTAAGCTATGGACAATGCCAGGAAAAAAACCACACCCAACTATTTAGTTGAGGATGTGTTAGAGACTTTAAAGGAGGGGCTTGTCACTCATGTGCATCTATGCATTAAGGCAGGGGTGTCAAACATACGGCCCACAGAGGTGTCCAATGATTTAAACAATATTATAAAATAATTAATAAAACATAATTTTGAAAATTAAATAAAGTGTATTTGCTACAATATTTTACTTTGAATTTAAAGCGGAACAAATGGCTCATTTATTTACGTTGATATTGTGCCTCGGGATTCGGGACACCTAACATGCGCGTTTTAAAGCGGCGCCAGAATCTCGAGCAGCACGAGGATAATATGATGATAGCTGCGTTGTAACTGATGCTTGTGGGGCAATTTTCTGGTGATTTTAAAAATGTCCAAAAGAAGAAATTTGACCTGGAAGGGCGGACAGGCTATTTAAGGAGAAATGGAAAGAAAGTAATCTCAACGCCGACAGGTAGGCCTATGTTTAATCACAACTCGTGGCTGAGGTAAATGTGTGCAATATTAAACGACACTGTGACGCACTGGACAGCTTCGCATGGAGGAAGTAAATGAGCGAGGAGTGTGCGATATTTATTGTATACTAATATCCTAACTGTTGTTTTAATGATGTGCGAGCTGACATTTTGTAACTTTGCAAATAAAACAAACAAACACATCATGAGCGTTTTTCAGTGCCGGATGAAGGCTATCAGTTTACAATATAATTCAATATATGGGGGCAAAAATAAAATGCCCTGTAAGAAATTTAGTTTTTAATATTTATGTTGTGATAGTTAATGTCAGTGCAATCGCAAATGAATTGATTTTATATAACAGCTCAACAAACAAGATGCTAGTATTAAGTGTGTTATATTAGTCACAATGCTGTCTGTTTATCTCTGTTTTGGCAAGAAAAAGTT